TGGGGACATGGAAAGAAATTGTAATATAGATTGAATATTAAATAATATTAGGGAATTATTCTTTTTTTTAAAGAGATTACTTATTTATTTGACAGAGAGAAAGAGAGAGCACAAGCAGGGGGAGTAGGAGAGGGAGAAGCAGGCTCTTTGCTGAGCAGGAAGCCTGATGTGGGGCTCGATCAGGACCTGAGCTGGAGGCAGATGCTTAACTACCTGAGCCACCCAGGCGCCCACAGGAAATTATTCTTAATTTTTAATTAATTTACTCAGGTATTATCTATATGGAGGAGAATGTCTTAATTCTTAGGAGATATGTGCTGAACTACATGCGAATAAAGTAAATAGAGCAAACCATTATCAGCTGCTCAATCTTGGTAAAGAATATTTAGTTGCTTGTTGCTCTACTTTCAATTTTTCTATATATTTTTAAATGTCCAATATAAAAAGTTGGATAAAAAGGAAGATAGAAGATCAGAAAAAGAAAGCATAGGGGCACCTGGGTGGCTCAGTGGGTTGGGGCCTCTGCCTTCGGCTCAGGTCATGGTCCCGGGATCCTGGGATCGAGCCCCGCATCAGGCTCTCTGCTCAGCGGGGAGCCTGCTTACCCCCCATCTCTGCCTGCCTCTCTGCCTACTTGTGATCTCTCTCTCTGTGTCAAATAAATAAATAAATAAAATCTTAAAAAAAAAAAAAGAAAGCATAGACTACTTTTTTAGAGGAATACTGCTGTAAAGGGAATGTATTAATTTCCTAGAGCTATTGTAACAAATTATCACAAACTGTATGGCTGAAAAAAAACAGAAACTTATTTTCTCTGGAGAATAAACTTCTGGAGGCCAAAAGTCCAAAATCAAGGTATTGGGCAAGGCTATGCACACTCCCTACAGAGACTCTAGGGAAGAATCCATTATTTGTCCTTCCAACTTCTGGGGGCTTCTGACACTCCTTGACTTGGGGCCGAATCATTGCAGCCTCTGCCTCTGGGGTCACATGGCCTCCGCATCTGCTGGGTGTCTGAGCTCCTTTGTCTCTTATAAGGACACTTGTGATCGCATTTAGTGTTCACCCAGATTAGCCAGAATAAACTCTCCCTCTCAAGATCTTTTTAAGTCAATCACATATTTTGCCTTGTAAGGTGATATTCACTCTTCTGCCATATGACATAATATGGAGACGTTCCTGGGACTAGGAAGTGAGTATATCTTCAGTGGGGGCCACATTTGTGTGTACCACTGGAAGCAAGAAAAACGGGGCAGTAGCTAGAGGTGAATGTGGTCAAGAGACCACATTCTTTTTCAAATCACAAATGAGAGCAATCACGGCATGTTTATAAGAAATGATGTAACAGTTTGCTGTACACTGAAGTTTATCTGTTCACTGTGCTCGTCGCTTTCACAGAGGAAAATTCATAAAGGAAAGAGCAAGTTACCTTCAAGATGAAAATCAGAGTTACACTTGAGAAATCAATAAAAAACAATCAGAATGTAATGGAGGAGACTTTTTGTCAAACATGGTAGATTGAACACACACATGTTTATCTCCAAACCCCACCAAGATGAAAATAAAAGGATAAATATAATACAAAATAATAAAATATGAAGACCATCAATTAACAAGCCCCACCTGCGCAGAGTAAGATCAAACATTTTAGGAAAACTTCCAACACACACACACACACACACACACACACACACACACACACACACACAGAGTCCAGAAAAGGGGGAGGAGAATTCGGAGGAAGTAATATGAAAAAGCAGAACACTTAAAAACTGAAAAATTCTTCCTTGGAGATCTAAAACAACATGTACACAAAACAAAAAACAGAAATACTATACATAAAAAAAGAAGCAATCAATGAACAAGAGAGTTGAAATTAAATCTGATCATGAGATCGAGCACAGCAATGGGCTCCATCCTGGGCATGGAGCCTTCTTAAGATTCTCTCTCCCAGGGTGCCAGGGTGACTCAGTGGGTTAAAGCCTCTGCCTTCAGCTCAGGTCATGATCCCAGGATCGAGCCCCACATTGGACTCTCTGCTCTGCTGGGAGCCTGCTTCCTCCTCTCTCTCTCTCTCTCTCTCTCTCTCTGCCTGCCTCTCTGCCTACTTGTGATCTCTGTCTGTCAAATAAATAAAATCTTTTTAAAAAAATCTTTTAAAAAAATGATTCTCTCTCTCCCTCTGCCTCCCACCCACCACTTTCTCTCCCCTCCCCCAAAAAAGTATATAAAGTGAAAAGGGTGAAATATTTCTTTTATCCAAACTATCCATGGCTGCTTTTTGCCACCTCTTACATCCCTATCCAAGAGACAAACAGGATCTAAGAGCCCACGTTCTGACGTTGATGCCTTGACCGCAGGCATCTGGGGAGTCTTCTCTCTTCCGTGGAATGAGAGTGCATGATGGATGGCATGGAGACATAGGAGACATAGGACATAGGAGAAAGCCCCAAAGGAGACTGACACCAGGGGAAAAGTCTACGTGATTAGATGAATAACCAATTCAAAGATGGAAACAGTAATAATGCAAGAGTTGAGGAAACTTCATATGGAGTCTGAGTAACTCAAATCTGATGTGTGGGGGTGAGGGAAATCCATGGAAATTGTGGGTTATCATGGTGAATCGAGCCCAGCATTATTCTGGCTACATTTGGAGGCTAGTTAGAGGGAAGATTCAGGAGGATGGACTTGGTCCAGATTTACAGGGCCCCGCGAGAGGCCTGTCCCATTCGACTGTAAAATTGTCTTACATGGGAGAGGGGCGTACAGGAAGAGTAAAGGAAATAACTTGCAAACCCAACACACATAATCATTATGATGGGCTTTGACTTCTTACTTTTTTTTTTTTTTCCACTTCTTTCTTTTCTCTTGCCTGTGTCACTTTGGAGCCCCTCGTTTCTCTCCAGGATCGTCTCTCAGAAGTTTTCTTTGCTCACTCCAGGTTGCATCTTCCTTCACAGCCTTCATTATCTACCCTTTATCCTGCTGTCATTCTCCATTTTTCTCACTATGCATTCTTCTCTATCTTATAAACCAATCACACGCTAAACTAAATCCTCTAGCCCCTCCCAAATCCATTTCTCAAACATTTCCCAACAAGCCCGTCAGTCACAGCTCTCCTCCAAGAGAACAATCTCCATGTTTCCTCCAGGTAGCAACACATTATCAGATCTTTTTTTTCCTCCTCGAAATGTTCCCATTCTCCTTGTTCTCATTCTTCTTCATTGCCTTTGGCCCTAGCCTCCACCTCCATCCTCAAAAGCTCTTCATTCCCAGCCTCTCTTTTCCTCTCTCATATTTACCTCTTCATGGTCAGTACCGCTCTGCTTGGCTCTAATTTCTCCTCCTTGACTTGCACCACTTCCGCTGCCTCTGTTTCCTTCGCTATCTCCAGTCCTTCATCGGCCTCACTCATCATCATCTTCATCTATAACCTCTTTCTCTTCGATAGAAACAGATTCCTCAGCAGGATCATTCACTCCGCCCAAGACATCCTTCTCAACTCCCACTGCTTCCTCAGTCCCTTGTAGCTCCTCATCACTCCTTTCCACCCTTTCAAAAGGATTTTCCATCTCAGCATAGGTAACTTTCATCTGTTTTTCATCATTAGTCACTTCTACCACTCTTTCAGTTGTCTCTTCAGTTACACTCTCTGTCCCTGAACCCTCCAGCTTGTTTGCACTTGACTTCAGTTTATCTCCAGCAGATCTCAAATCCTCTCCGCTATTTTCTGGCTTCTCTTCCCTGGAGCTCTCCTTCTCTCCACTTGACCTCAGCTTCTCTTCACTCAGACTCAGCTTCTCACTTGATGTCAACTTCTCTCCACTCAGCTGCTCTCCACTCGACCTCAGCTGCTCTCCACTTGACCTAGGCTTCTCTCCACTCAGCTTCTCTCCACTCAGCTTCTCTCCACTCGACCTCAGCTCCTCCTCATTCTGCTCTGGTGTATGTGGTCCGGATCTCAAGTCCTCTCCTCTGATCCCCACCCCACTAAATTTCAACCTCTCTTTAAAGCCAGACCCCCTGCTAGACCCTGCTGTAGTCCCCGCACTCTCAGATTCAGCGCCTATTTTGTCTCTAATTTCTTGTTTCCCCCCCATCTCCTTTGGGCTGTTTTCCCCCAAACCTGCTGGAGCCTGTAATGAACTTGCTACACTGTGCAGTAACTTCATATCCATCCTTTCCGGACTCTGGCCTGACTTCGCTTTCAAGACCACTTTTCCCACATCTTCCAGTCTCCAGTGTTGAGGGTCAAGCTTTGGGTCGCCCACTGGAGGCTTTTGGGTATTTCTACCCAGGAGCTCCATTCTCTTCCCGATTACAATGAGCCCGTTCCAGGGCACCCACACATTTTCTCGCAGCATCTGTGCCCCTCTGTTTCCCGGGTTCAGGTGCGACCACCCGTGGACCCGGGCCCGGCCTCGGGCGCTCCGGCGCCGGGCCTTGCGGCGTCTCCTCACGACTCTGCGCGGCTTGCCCCGCAGACCCCTCATGCCCCAGAGCGGAAATTCTAACGGACCCCCTTTCCACAAAGACACTAACCCACATCCTTATCCCTGGTCCACCATACCACCCCTCCTCCCCATCCCCCCTACCCCACCCTCCCAGCCTCCCACCCTGCCCACTGGCTCGTCGCTTCGCCCACCGCCCGGAGGGCGCGCGACGAGGCTAGTGCGCACGCGCAGAGCGCGCGAGGCGGTTGGAAGGCACGGCCCGGAGCTGCGGCAGGCGACAGACTGCCAGCCTGGGGGCGAGGGGGGGGGGATGGTGACGTGGCTCGACACCACTGTAACCCCAGAACCCCCGACCCCAGGCCCCATGCTGTCGCCTGTTCCCGGCCCTGGGTTACGTGCTTCCCCTTAAAAGCTGGAGCCAAGCAAGGGAACGACAGGCGTTGTAGCCAATGGGGTCGCTCACGGTGAACCTGGTAGCCAATCAAAAGGTGGAGCTGCGGAGGAGCGGGTGGAAACCACGCCCGATTCCAGGTGACTCCTAGCAGGGAGGGGAGCGTGTCTCCGTCAGCTGATAGGGTCGGGTGCCTCGGGCGAGCTACCGGGGGACGAAGCTGCGGGAGCGCGCGGGCAGTGGCCGGCCGCGGAATACTTGTGTGCTGCGGCCAAGAAGAAGGGTGATGGAAGGGCGGCAAGAGGCTGGAAAGGAGAGCAAGGTAAAGAAAGGATGCGAATCCCCTACCCCCACCTCACTCCATGATACCCAGTGATGCCCAATCAGGGAGTGGGACGTGTGTGCATGTGTTCGCGCGCACGCGTGAGCTAGAGAGACCTGAGCAACGGGTGAGGGGGGTGGGGCGCCACTGTGGCACCTGCATGGGGCCTGGTGAGGATGCCAAAGGGGGCAGGGTTTACCTTTGTCATGACAGATGGAAAGGGACCTGTCACTGCCATTCCTCCCCTCCCCCGGACCAGCTCACGATTATGGCTTAATAGGGAAGAAGAGGAAGGAGGGATGTTAGGGATTGGGAAGAGTACCCTTCTCCTTTGCCAAGTGGGGGAGGGATCCAGTTCAGCACTAACGGCTTCATTTGTGTACCTGTGTTCATATAATCGTAAGATCATTAATTCATTTTTCCCTCTTGACTTCATTCAACAAATAGTTATTGAGCATCATTGGGCTCACAGAGGTGCACACTTTCCAGAACTGGATGCGTGTACATAGTGGGCGGTGGCCGAGGATAAGGATGGAGTAGCTGTGGTCCATCCTTGAAATCCCATCTCCCTCAAGCAGTTACCAAACCGTACAGGTTAGAGCAGAGATACTAAGGCAGCAGGAGGGAGACAGGAGACTTAGGGCCCCATTGTACCAATGAGTCAGATTGTGTGTGTGTGTGCACGTATGTGGAGGGGGCGGGTTGCAGTTGGACAAAGGGGAAGGCTGCCCTGGGGATATCAGAGAAGCCGAGTGAGGAGTGGGGTTCAAGGGAGTTTGGAGAGGTGAGGGGGCTGAGAGACACAAAGTATAGAGCAAAAAATACCCGTTTCCATGTTTATGTTCATATTCATGGCTAAATTAATTAATATACGTAAAATGCTTAGATCAGTACCTGGCCTATAGGAAGCTCAAGTGTAAGTGTTAGCTATTATGTTGTTGGTGTTGTTTTGTTGTTGTTACTGTTATCATATGGGATGTTTACTAGGCTATCAAACCGATGGGTCCATCCCCAAACTTTGTAGGTACCAGACTCTCTGAAAGTCCAGTATTAGATCCTGTCCTCTAGAATAAGCATTGCTTTCTCTAAGAGTCTCCTTTAAATAGAAAGAAATGGAAAGAATACTAAATGAAGATGTAAATAAAAATACAATAGAAGAGAAAATGAAATAATATAAAAATACTTGACTAATCTAACAGAAGACAAGGAAAAAAGAATAAAGCAACAAAAAAACAGATGAGAAAAAGAAAAAAAAAACAAAAAGCAAGATGGTGGGTTTATAGTTTATGTTAATAATTACAGTAATTATGAACAGACCAAACACTCCAATTAAAAACATATTCAGGGGGTGCCTGGCTGGTTCAGTTGGTAGAACATACAACTTTTGATCTCAGGGTTGAGACTTGGAGCCCCACCTGGAGTGTAAGGTTACTTAAAAAATATATTGAGAGTGGACTTTTTTTCAGATTGGATTTTTTAAAAATAGGCTTCATGCTCAGCATGGAGCCCAGCATGGGACTTGAACTCACAACCCCAGATCAAGACCAGAGCTGAGACCAAGATTCTGACACCACCCAGGCACCCCTCAGATTGGATTTTTTAAAAACAACTATATTCTGTCAAATGACACATACTTTTAGGGGTGCCTCGGTGTCTTAGTCGGTTAAGTGTCTGACTCTTGATTTCAGCTCTGGTCCTGATTTCAGGGATGGTGGGATGGCCCTGGGCTCCATGCTCAGCAGGGAATCTGCTTAAGATTCTCTCTCCTCTCCCTCTATACTCCCCCACAACATGTATACTCTCTCTAAAATAAATAAATAAATAGCTCTCTCTCTCTCTTTTTTTTTTAAAGAGACATACTTTAATTGTAAGGACCCAAAAGAATGCTGGTATAGCTATATTAATTTCAGACAAAGTAGACTGTGAGATAAGAAGTATTAGAAATAAAGAGGGACATTTTTTAATAGTTAAAGTGTCAATTCAACAGGAAGATAAAACAGTCCTAAATTGGGGCGCCTGGGTGGCTCGGTGGGTTAAAGCCTCTGCCTTCGGCTCAGGTCATGATCCCAGGGTCCTGGGATCGAGCCCCGCATCGGGCTCTCTGCTCAGCAGGGAGCCTGCTTCCTCCTCTCTCTCTGCCCGCCTCTCTGTCTACTTGTGATCTCTGTCTGTCAAATAAATAAATAAAATCTTTAAAAGGAAAAAAAAATGACTTTCTAAAAAAAAAAGTCCTAAATTTATACGCAACTAATAGCATCATTTCAAAATGTGCAAAAGAAAAGATGACAGAATTAGAAAGAGAAATAGACAAACTCACAATTACAACTAGAGGTTTAACACAACTCTCTCAACTGTAGAACAAGCAGACCAAAAAAAAAAAAAATCAGTAAGGATTTTGAAGATTTAAAATATCATAATTAAAAAAAAAATACCATGATTGGGGCGCCTGGGTGGCTCCGTCAGTTAAGCGTCTACCTTCGGCTCAGGTCATGATACCAGGATCCTGGGATCCAGTCCACATGGGGCTCCTTGTCCAGTGGGGAGCCTGCTTCTCCATCTCCCTCTCCCTGCCACTCCCCCTGCTTGTGCTCTCTCTCTCTCTCTCTGTCAAATAAATAAATAAAATAATAAAATACCATGATTAATCAACTTGATCTAATTGGTTTAATTAGAGCTCTATACCCAACAACTGCAGGAAACACATTCTTTTTGAGTGCACTCGAAACATTCACCAAAATACATTATGTGTTGGGCTATATTGCAAGTACCAAGTTTTGAAACTTTGAAATCATAGAATGAGATCTCTGTCCTGGTAGAATTAACGGGGAATCAAAACAAAAAGATAACTAGATTCCAAAATACTTGGAAAGTAAGCAACATGCTTCTAAGTAACTCATAGGTCAAAGAAGAAATTACAATGAAAATTAGAAAAATTTTTAAAGAAATGGTTTTGAAAATATGATAATCAAAACTGGAGATACAGCTGAAGAAGTACCCGGGGAGGAACTTATACCTCCAAATGCATATTTTAGAAAAAAAGAAAGATTGAAAAAAGTCAGTTATCTACATTTCTTTTTTTGTTTTTTTTAAAAAGATTTTATTTATTTATTTGACAGAAGAGATCACAAGTAGGCAGAGATGCAGGCAGAGAGAGAGAGGGAAGCAGGTTCCCTGCTGAGCAGAGAGTCCTATGTGGGGCTCAATCCCAGGACCCTGAGATCATGACCTGAACCAAAGGCAGAGGCTTAACCCACTGAGCCACCCAGGCACCCCTTGTTTTGTTTTTGAAAGATTTTATTGGTCAGAGAGAGAGAGCACAAGCAGGGGGAGTGGCAGGCAGAGGGAGAAGCAGGCTCCCTGCTGAGCAAGGAGCCCAAGGTGAGACTCCATCCGAGGAAGGACCATGGGATCATGATCTGATCCAAAGGTAGAGACTTAACCAACTGAGGCACCCAGGCATCACAATGATCTACATTTCAATCTTAAGAAACTAGAAAAAGAAGAACAAGTTAAACTCCAAGAAAGTAAAAGGAAGGAAATAATAAAGAGCAGAAATCAGTTAATAGAATATAAATATAAATATACAGAAATACAACAATGCCAAAAATAGTTTTTTGAAAATATTTAAAAAATAAAAAGACTAGCAAGACTGATGAGAGAAAGAGTGAGACCGAGAGGGAGGAAGGGAGAAAATATTAATTACCAATATCAGGAATGATAAAGTATATATTGATAAAGAAGTTTCAGTCATTAAAAAGACAGTAAGAGGGGCACCACCTGGGTGGCTCAGTCAGTTAAGGTTAAGTGTCTGCCTTTGGCTCAGGTCTTGATCCCAGGGTCCTGGGATTGAGACCCGCATGGGGCTCCCTGCTCAATGGGGAGTCTGCTTCTCCATCAGCCTCTGCCCCTCCCCCCACTTATCTCTCTCTCTCTCAAATAAATAAAATTTTCATAAATAAATAAAGTATTTAAGAACAAGCTTATGCCAACAAATTAGAGAATTTAAACAAAATGGACAAACTACTTGAAAAATGCAACTTACCAGACCTGAAACAAGAAGTAGAGAATTTCAATAGTCCTATATTTATTATAGGAAGTAAATTTATAATTAAAAACTTTTCCAAAAATACCTCTCTAAGCAATAAAATTCCATGTGTGAATTGCTTGAAGCCTTAAAGGAAAGCTAGTAACATTCTCATGTAAGTTATTCCAAAAACAGAAATAGAAAGCACAATTCAACTTACTTTAGGAGGACAACATAACCTCAATACAAAAACCTGTCAGGAAGAGGTAGATGATAGTGGTAATTGAACAACACCATGAATATCCTTAATATTAATAAACTGTACACTTTAAAATGGTTAAAATGGTAAATTTTGTGTTATGTATGTTTTACCACAAAAAATCCTATCAAAAACATTAAAAGAGAGGAATAATACAGTTTAATCTGTCTTGTGAACATAAATGGAAAAATCACAAACAAAATATCATCAAGTTGAATAAGCAGTATATAAAAATATGATACTTCAGGGCACCTGGGGAGCTCAGTTGGTTAAGCATCCAGCTCTTGATTTCAGCTTAAGTCATGATCTCAGGGTCATGGGGTTGAGCCCTGCATTGGACCTCACACTCAGCACAGAGTCTGCTTGTTTTGTCCCCCTCCCTTTGCCTCTCCCCCCAATCACTTGCTTGCATGGGCTCTCTCTCTCTCTCTCAAATAAGTAAATAAAATCTTAAAAAAAAAAAAAAAGAGGGACGCCTGGGTGGCTCAGTTGGTTAAGCGGCTGCCTTTGGCTCAGGTCATGATCCCAGCGTCCTGGGATCGAGTCCCACATTGGGCTCCTTGCTCAGCAGGGAGTCTGCTTCTTCCTCTGTCTCTGCCTGCCACTCTGTCTGCATGTGCTTGCTCTCGCTCGCTCTCTCTCTGATAAATAAATAAAATCTTAAAAAAAAAAGAAACTAAAAAACAAAAAGGTAATACTTCATGATGAAGGCCTTGTTCCAGGAATGCAGGGCGGTACAATATATGATGATCAATCAATGAAATTCAGGACATTATAGAATGACAGGAAAACCCATTTGATATCTCAATAAAGGGAGGAAACATAGATAAAAATCTTACCAAACTAGGCATAGAAGGGAGTCTCATTAATCTGATTCAGGATTAATCATCTTCAGGATTATATATATATTTTTTAATTTTATTTATTTATTTATTTATTTATTTATTTATTTTTGAGAGAGAGAGAGAGAGAGAGAGAGATTACAAGTAGGCAGAGAGGCAGGCAGAGAGAGAGGGGGAAGCAAGCTCCCTGCTGAGCAGAGAGCCCAATGCAGGGCTCGATTCCAGGACCCTGAGATCATGACCTGAGCCAAAGGCAGAGGCTTAACCCACTGAGCCACCCAGGTGCCCCCAGGATTACATTTTAAATGCATTCCCTCTGAGATCAGGAACAAGTCAAGGATTTCCTTTTTCACATATCACCACTTCTGCATTGTACTAGAGGTCCTAGCAAGTGCAATAAGGCAAGAAAAAGAAATAAAAGGTATAAAGTTTGGAAAGGAAAAACTAAAACTGTCATTATTTTATATTATAGGATTTTATCTGGAGGAAATCCAAAATAATCTACAAACTATTAAAAGTAGTAAGTAAATATAGCGAGGTTCTTGGACATAAAGTAAATATAGAAAAATCAATTGTGTGTTTCTACATACTAGCAATAAATAACTAGGGAATGAATCTTTTAAAAATATTTCAAATAGGGGCACCTGGGTGGCTCAATGGGTTAAAGCCCCTGCCTTCGGCTCAGGTCATGATGCCAGGGTCCTGGGATCGAGCCCCGCATTGGGTTCTCTGCTTGGCAGGGAGCCTGCTTCCCTTCCTCTCTCTGCCTGCCTCTCTGCCTCCTTGTGATCTCTGTCTGTCAAATAAATAAATAAATAAATAAAATCTTTTTTAAAAAAAGTCTATTAAAAAAAAGTAAAATATTTCAAATAGCAACAACAATAAAAAACATCATAAAATACCTAGGAATAAATCTAACAAAGGTGTGCAAACCCTTTACAGAGAACACTACAAAACATTACTGAGAAACATTAAAGAAGATTTAAATAATTGGAAATATATTTCATGTTGATGGATTGGAAGATTCAAAATTATAAAAATGCCTATCCTTCCCAAACTGACCTATAGATTCAATTTAATCTCAATCAAAATCCTGGCAAATTTTTTGGGTGTAAATTAACAAGCTGAGTCTACAACTTAAACAGAAATGCAAAGATCTGTAATAGCCAGAATGATTTTGAAAAAGAACAGGTTTGTTAATGCTATCTGATTTCAAATTTGTCAATTACAGTAATCAAGACAGTGTGAAAATATCAAAAGTACAGATGTATGGATCAGAGAAACAGAACAGATAGTACAGAACCTATAACACTTATGAAGTCAATTTATTTTCTACCAAAAAAAGATTTGTACCAGAGCAAATCAATACTCAAAAGATAGTTGTTGTTGTTGTTGTTGTTTTAACAAATAGTGCTAAAATGACTGGCTGTTATATGACAAAAATGAGTCATAACCCATACCTTACATTGTATACAAAATGACGTGAAGGTGGATCATAGACCTAAATATAAAAGCTTACACTATTAATTTCTAAAAGAAAAAAAAATAGGAGAATATCTTCATGACCTGGGGGTAGGCAAAATTTTCTTCAAGGGTACGCAAAAATCCTTCATCATAAAAGAAAAGACTGACATATTGGAGCTAGTAAAATTATAGGTCATTAAGAGAGAAAAGGCAACCCAAAGAAGAGGAGATATTGACAACACATGTAACTAACAAAGGACTTGTCTCCAGGGTATATAAAGAGTCCCTACAAATCAATAAGAAAAAGACAATCCAATTTTTAAGAGGAGGGAGGGGAGGAGCAAAAGACTTGAATAGGCTCTTTACAAAAAGATCTCCAAACAGGTGATGGATACATAAAATGGTATTCAACATCATTCCTCACCAGGGAATACAAGTTAAAGCCACAATCTGCAAATACCCTGCCCCCACCAGTATGGCTAACACGAAAAAGACTAACAATTCTCAGTACTGGCAAGGGTGTGGTGCCACTGGAATTTTCATACAATGCTGGCAGGAATATAAATTTGAACAATCACCTTGAGAAACTAGTAGTGTCTGCGAAAGATTTAAACACATGCCTGCCCCATAGAAGACACATGGAAGAAAGTTCAAGGCAGCTTTATCCATAATAGGCCAGCCTTGAAATAATCTAAATGACTACCAACAGTAGAGAGCGAGGGGACGTGAGCGGTGGGCTGGTGACAGTCTATGTACTGGTGAGCCGCGCTTGAAGGTACAGTGGCTTCTTCCTTCACTGGGCACAGTGGTGTAGACCGAGTAGGTGTTTAATAACTGTGTGGAAAAGCTCAATGCAAAAATGAACTCGTAGTCCGGGGGCTCACTGGTCGGGGTGCCTGAATTCAGTAACCAGTGGGGGAAGAGGTGAGCTGGTAGCTGAGAAAGTACTTGGGGTTTGGGATTTGAGAAACTGGGTTCAAATCTGGCCCGGCCACTGGTGATTTGGGACAACTTATTTCACCTCTCTGGTGCTCTCAGTTTCCGTATCTGCAGAGCAGGAAGAAGCCGGCCTGCTTCTGAGGAAGGAAGTGTGGGAAAGTGTTGTAGTGATTGTAGAGCCCCGAGCAGTGACTCCCTGGGATCCCTCTAGCTGGTGACCCCAGGGCATTGAAGAGGCAATGCTGCTGAGGCGGGCTATGCAGGAGGACCCGGAGTCCGCCGTGAGAATGCGGTCAGGGGCTGTGGTCAGTCGTGTCAGAGACCTCCCCTCCCCGGCAGCCCTCCTCTGTATCAGTGGACCTGCAGGGAGACAGTACCTTGCAGGTGGAGATCTCTGATGCCGTGAGCGAGCGGGACAAGGTGAAATTCACCGTTCAGACCAAGGTGAGGCTGCCAGAGGAGCGAGAGGGATTTGAGGCAGCGGCCTCGGGAGCTCGAGGAGCCCGCTTACCCCGGTTTCGCTTGCCTTGGGGGTGAGGGGCAGATGCCAACGTCGACTTTGGGCCCTGTTCCTCAACCTGGCTCCTGCCCCCTGCCTCTCTGAGAAAGCAGGCATCTTGTCTCCTCTCCAGTTGCCTTTTGCCTCTGGCCCCGAGTCCTAATCATCCCCTGTCTGTCATCCCGACAGAAATCATGGACGGCTGAGCCACTGAGGCCCACCTTGGGCCTCACCTGGGATGTGGGATTGGGGAAGCCCGAGAGTGGGTGCCCAGGATGCCTGGCGGGTGCAGGGTTTGGGAGGGGAGGAGAGACACCTCAGACATGCTTCCCGGCTTCCAGAGCTGCCTCCCTCACTTCGCCCAGACGGAGTTCTCAGTCGTGCGACAGCATGAGGAGTTCATCTGGCTACACGACGCCTATGTGGAAAACGAGGAGTACGCCGGCCTCATCGTGAGGAAGGGCCGGGCAGGCTGGGGCCGTGAGGGGCAGGTCTGGGTGCTTGGGTGGGCCTGGAAGACTGAGCGACGCTTCTGGGGGTGGGTGATGGCCTTCTCAGCCATGAGAGACCTGCCTGCTCTGTCCCTCCTTTGAGCAGATCCCCCCAGCCCCTCCAAGGCCAGACTTCGAGGCTTCAAGGGAAAAGCTGCAGAAGTTGGGTGAGGGGGACAGCTCCATCACGCGGGAAGAATTTGCCAAAATGAAGCAGGAGCTAGAAGCGTGAGTGCTACTTCCTTTCCTTGAGCTCCAGGCCCAGCCCTGTCCTGAGAGTCCCCAGATTTCATCCCCTGTGGTTAGTTAGAGACCCTGACCTCTGACCCCAGGGCTCCTGAGGGGAAGGGGGAGGGATGATCAGAGCCGAGGAGGGCCCTTGAGCTGCCTGCTGATTTCCGCAGGGAGTACCTAGCTCTCTTTAAGAAGACAGTTGCAATGCACGAGGTCTTTCTGCAACGCCTTGCGGCCCACCCGACCCTGCGTCGAGACCACAACTTCTTTGTCTTTTTGGAATATGGCCAGGATGTGAGCTGAGCCAGAGCACACCCTTGGGTCACCCTTGGGGGTTGGGCGGGGAGGGTGTTAGGTGGGCTCAAGCCTCATTCTCATCAGCTCCAAGAGTGACATGAGCCTGGGGTGGGAGGTGCGAGCGCCACCCCAGCATCATACTCTCCCCTGTGTGCCTCAGCTGAGTGTCCGAGGAAAGAATAGGAAGGAGCTTCTTGGGGGATTTCTGAGGAATATCGTGAAGTCTGCAGATGAAGCCCTCATCACCAGCATGTCAGGGCTCAAGGTGACCCCTGGGACCCCTCTGTGGATTCAACCCAGGGCTTCAAGTCCACAGCAAACACTGAGGCCCAGGGTGGCTGCGGGAGGGAAACCACCGGTGGGGCACGGCCTAGAGGGAAATCATGCTGCCCCTTCGAGTCCATGGCCACCATGTTCCTGCTGACTCAGTGTAAGAGGCTCCTGTCTGGCTCTCTTAGGAGGTGGATGACTTCTTTGAGCACGAGAGGACCTTCCTGCTGGAGTACCACACCCGCATCCGGGACGCCTGCCTGCGGGCAGACCGTGTCATGCACTCCCACAAGTGTACGCAGGGCCCAAGGGGCCCTGGGTTCCCTGCCCCTTCCCCCTGGCATGCCTACTCCCTATGGGGAGAGAAGAGAACAGGAAACATCCTGTGTCTCTCCAAGACACAAACACTGGTGCTGGGGCTTGATGTGCAGACCGAGGGGGTCTGATGGAGGGCTGTTCCCCAACAGGCCTGGCAGACGATTTTATCCCTATCTCTGCTGCACTGAACAGTCTGGGAACACAGGAAGTCAACCAGCTAAAGACGTGAGGACTCCCTCTAGCCCTTCCTACCCCTGTCTATGCCTGTAATACCGTGGCTGCCCGCGAGGGGTCACTGTGGAAACGTCCTATCAGCGTAGGTGGGAGGTGAAGTTACTGCTGGGATTTGGGAAACACGCCAGGGAGATTTCCCCACTGCAGGGTATCAGCAAGGATAGCGCTAAGGGCAGGGAGGCTTTAAGCAACACCCTCTCAAGACTCCTGCCCTAACTCTTCCCCACTGCCTCCTAGGAGCTTCCTCAAATTGGCAGAGCTCTTTGAACGACTAAGGGTGAGTCCTGCCTTGTGTATTGGAAGGGCACCCAATCAATGATCCTTTGCGGGGACTCAATAGCCTCTTCCTAGAAAAGGACAAAGCTCGAGGATCATTTCGGAACATTTGGTGATAACTTGGGCCCAGTGATACCCTGGACTCACCCTCAGTCAAACCCTAGTTTAATGAGCAGGAGAGGAGACAGGGATCCAGTCTGAAGTGTGTGTGTGGTGATGGGGGTGGGGGTGGGAAGCAGGCCTGGCAAGCCGTGTACAAGGATGGGCCACGTGCCTCTGGGAGGTTGCCCTGCATTGCCAGCATCCTGCCCCAGACACACACTTCCTGAACTCTCCTCCAAGAGTCAATGGCAGTGTGCCAATCTTTCTAAGACTGTCTGCTGGATCATATCTCCTCCCTGCTCAGGGACCTTCGGGGACCCTGCCCTTCCCAGAAACTGCCCCAAACACAAAGTCCAAAGTCCTTAGTTTGCTCTTTAGGCCTTTTGGGACCCAGCCACTGCCATCTGAGCACTCCCACTGACCTCATGGTTCCCTGAACACGTACGAGGCTTGCACACCTGCAGAGCCTTTGGCTGTTGTCTGATTCCTACTCAGCCCCCAAGATCCGGATCAGATGCCACTCCTCAGTCAAGTTTTCCCTGGCTTGCTCCCCTGAACATCAGGGTTTGACCTGGAGTGGTCATCAAGTGATTCTGTGGGCTGTTGAGAGGAGCAGCAGCACCCCAGCCCTTAGCTGCCCCTCTGCAAGCTCCCTCCCCAGCCTCCAAACTTCCTGATACAGAAGCTGGAGGGCCGAGTGGCATCTGATGAGGACCTCAAGCTATCAGACATGCTGAGATACTACATGCGAGACTCACAGGCAGCCAAGGTAAGATAGGTCCCCAGCACAAACCTTGGGGCTGGAGGACAGCAGGCCTGGACCAACAGGGGAGGGCAGGCAGACAAGGCCGTGGGCATCGGCGAGCCTATGCTCCTGCTGGCCCCAGGACCTGCTGTACCGGCGGCTGCGAGCCCTGGCTGACTACGAGAACGCCAACAAGGCACTGGACAAGGCGCGCACTAGGAACCGGGAGGTGCGGATTGCCGAGAGCCACCAGCAGCTGTGTTGCCAACGTTTTGAACGCCTCTCTGACTCAGCCAAGCAGGGTAAGCCCCATGGCCCCAGAGCCCCTGCCACTGGGCTTCCTACTCTCCCAGGGTCCCCATTTTTCCTCCCTCCCCTCCAGAGCTAATGGATTTCAAGTCCCGCCGCGTCTCCTCCTTCCGCAAGAACCTTATAGAGCTGGCAGAGCTGGAGCTCAAACACGCCAAGGTGAGCCCTCCACCCTCACTGTGCCCTCTTGCCACCTCCCTCCCAGACCTCTAGGTTCTTACCAAGTACTGGCAAGCATGTATTGGGGGGAGGTGGTCTGGGAGCCCCCCATGGACTTTCGGGGTCATGTTTCACCTTGGACCAGGACCCTTCCCTTCCTATCATTAATGTGCCCTCAGTAAACGGCCGCCGTTGTTGCTGAGGACAGGAACGCAAGAGGGAGGGGGCATGACTTTTGAGTGTGGGAAGAACAGCCCCTTCTATCATGAAGCAGGGTGGCAGTAGTGGGGGACATCAAGGTCCTCTCTCCTATGCAGGCCAGCACCCTGCTTCTCCGGAACACCCTTATCGCCCTCAAGGGAGAGCCTTAGAGCAGCTACAGCCTACTTCAGGGCCTTTAGTGGCAAGAGTCCTCCAGATTTCCCCCAATATACCACCTCCCCCACCACAGCAGCCACTAGCCAGGCCCCTAGATCTCCCAGGGCAAGCCCAAGCCCCACTCCCACCCAAGAGGGCCAGGTCCTGCAAGAGGAAGCTAGGGCATCATGGGTACTGTACTTGGCCAAAGGTAAGAACCCCGACCTCAGGGAGGCCAGGGGTCTGGACCTCCCTCCACTCCTGGAGTCTGGGGGACAGCCCCCGCCCACCCAGTCTCCAATCTCCCCCTCCCCCCAAGCCTCCTGAGTTCATTTGTCCCCAGCCTGTTCACAAATAAAAGCCTGCTTTTTCTAGCAAGGAAGCCTGCTTAGTCCTTACTTCCCACAGCTCCAGGGCCCACCAGGAATGTAACCAGGGCACTATGGACACCAGACCCTGGGCACCCCACGCCCCCAACCAGTGCCAAAAGTAACTACCCTTCCTGCTTCCCACTTAAAGAGACACTGGCAAACTCCAGAGAACTAAGGAACCAGCTTTTACAGGCTTTTTTCTTTTCCCCCCAGTTTGGGTGTGCATGTGTCCATGTAATAAGCCTGCATTCCCACCCTTAGGGTGACATTTATAGGATACCTTTACCTCCCAGGCTGGTGAAAACCCAAAGTACAGAGAGCCTGCAGCAATGCTAGCAAAAGGCTTGGGGCTCCAGCCAACACCCTCTTGGTTCAACACAGGGAGGTAGGGCCCAGGAGACTTGGGTCTGAAGTCCCGGGCTCCACCTGGCCTGGCCCCACCCCGGACTCCAGTCACATCTCTAGAAGGCCAAATGCTCAACTTGGCTTCTGACTCACAGCAGCCACTGGACCCAGCCCTCATAGATGAGTCAGCCATCCATGAAAGAAGTCAGAGGAAAACCAGAGAGAACCCTGAAGACAGAACAGCTCAAGAGGCACTTTGTAACTCCCAGTCTCACAGCCCACACTGGGCAGGCCTGAGCCTGGGGTTGAACAGGCCTCACTGCCCAGCTGCCCACCCAGGGAAGAGGCTACAGGAGAGTGTTCAGGTATGAAGCCCATTCTGCCCGAAGGGCTCCTGCAGACGGCAGCACACACACCCCAGTTCAGCTAAGTCCCCAACAGTCAATTTGGGCCCAACCAGTGATACCACCTGTGAGTGACAACTGTCAGAGGACAGCTCAGCCAGGTGCTGTGACCAAATGAAGGGGGTGGATGGAGGCCGCGTATAGAGAAGAGACACTGCTCATTATTTCAGCATACCTTCCCCTGCAAGGTCCCTTGGGCCCCAACCCTGAAACAAACATCCCATTAGTGAGCCTTTTTATTGTTGTGTGTGTGTTGGTTTTTTTTTTAATTGAAGGTCCCTTACTGGTCCTGCTTCCACGGGTGGCCAAGACCAGGGGAAAAGGGGAGGGGAACCAGGCGGCGCAAGGAGGGGTCATCTCCACAACATTCCATTTATACACAGAACTAAACAGACAAGCACGGAGTCACTATTGCGGTTAGAAGTTGGCAGCATGGGAAAAGGGAGGAACAGGTGGGGAATTGGGGTGTCGTTAAAAAAAATACAGGCCCCCCCCAAACTGGGGTGCCTGGGGGGAACTTGGTCTGCTTCAACCCAAGAGGAATCAGAAGATCAGAAGCGGTTTGGGAAGGCCAGAACCGTCAGGGATAGAGGGAAGAGGAAGGTCCAGGGGGTGAGGGGGGCTGTTTGGCAACTGGGGTGAAGGGATTGCCCTCCCCCTGCTGGGATCCCCCCAGCCCCTCCGGTCTGGCAGGAAGGGGGCAGCCTGCAACCCCCATGGGCAGGGTCTGGGGCTGCCAGATGCTCCAGGCAGGGGGCTGGAGGGGGCTCACAAAGGCTTGCCCTCCAGGGAGATGACGGCACTGCCCCCCAGTTTCTCTGCCAGGGTGCAGCGGTCCTTGACCTCCTCGTAGCAGTTTGCCTGTAATTCATGTTTGATCCCTGTGAGGAAGAAAGGGAGCATCTGTGAGCAGGATGCGTTGGGGGAGGGGAAGTTGGGGCTGGGAAGGAGCCAATCAGAACAGATGGAAGGGACAAGGTTACCTTCCAGCAGGCAGGGAAGAGGAGGGGGGAGGCATCTCATATACCATGCCTTTCACCCTGCTCTGCAGCCAAAGCCTGAATGAAAAGGTACGGGGCACCCATGCTGGCCCTTACCCGTCAGCTTTTTCTTGATGGCATCCTTGGAGCTGGCATAAATCATTTTGCTCTTGAGGGGTGCAGACTCAGGTGCCCTGGAGGGAAACGACAGAGAATATGCAACAAACTTCTCTCTCCAAGTCTGGAAGTGCCCTCAAGTGAGAGAGGACTTCAAGCACTCGGGCTTTGCTCAAGTTCCCTACTGACGAGTGTTTGTTACAACGTCCTCCCCGCCAAACACACAGAGGTCCCAGGCTGAGAAAGCAGGGTGAGGCAGAGCTAGGGAGGTTACAGAAAGAAGCGCCCGCAGGGAAGCTCACCAGAAGATAAACACCAGGTCCTCCTTCTTGCTCTCCTTGGTCTCATAGGTTGCGTCGTAGAGGGCATAGCGGCAGTCCTTGTCTGGCAGCATCTTGACAAAGGTGGCGTAGGGGTCGTCTACAGTCTGGCCCACATCACCCACCAGGATCTCCTTGCCCTCCTCCAAGATGATGTTCTTCTTGTCCTCGCTCAGGCAGAAGAGCACCGCCTTCTTGCGCTTCTTCACCTCCTCTGGTGTCGAGGACTTGCGCACCTTCATGTCATTGAACACTTTGATGACACCATCGGAGACCGCCACACCGGAGGCCTAGGGGACGAGCCACATATACTTCAGAAAGGAAAGACTTTGGGGGGCACTTGGGTGGCTCAGTGGGTTAAAGCCTCTGCCTTCAGCTCAGGTCATGATCCCAGGGTCCTGGGATGGAGCCCCCGCATCCCGCTTCCTGCTCAGCAGGGAGCCTGCTTCCCTTCCTCTCTCTCTACCTGCCTCTCTGCCTACTTGTGATCTCTGTCAAGTAAATAAATAAAAATTAAAAAAAAAAAAAAAAGGAAAGACTTTGGGACTCCCCCCCTAAAAAGATCTTACGATCTCCTCTGCAATCGTAAGAGATCCATCTCGGATGCCAACAAGTCCTCAACCAAGAGATCATTACTCCTTCCCAAGACAAGTGTCATTATTTTGCCACCCCACAAAGCCACCATCCAAGGACCAAATGAGACACAACCCCAGAACGGCAGCCATACAGGAAACCTCTTATCATCTAATTCAACATCATTCCTCCTCACCCGACATCTTACAATCCAGAAACCGAGAACATGTAAGAAGCAGAACCTTGGCTTTGAGGTCAACCCAGAATTAAAAGAATCCACAGGCTCCTTTCTTACTCACAGTACTCCATCTCAGCTTCTGGATAATAGTGCTGACTCAAAACTTCACAGATAGTAAAGGGAGACCCAGGCACCCAGGTTAGAGCCACCTCTTCTGGAGGTAGAACGAGGACCCAACAATGGTAGACAGGACACCAAGGAGTTTAACAGTTCTCGTTAAGTCCATCAGGACTAGTCAGTGTAGTTGTTCACAAACCATCCTCTTTGCTGGAATCATCTTCAACCAAAGCAAGAATCACAGACCCTAATTAAAACCCTAACCCATTAACTCCCCGTCCTCCGAGGAAAATGTAGGACCCGAAGACCGCTGACATAAGTTAGCAGGTCAAAACCAAATACCGCGGTCCTCGAGAGCTCTTTAAACGTCTACTCTTGGTCGTGTTGGAGGAGGGGCACCCTAGCCTGGAGGGGGGCTACTGCCCACAGTGAAATCTGCGGCGCCCCCCGCGCCCGGAACTGCAGAGGAAGCCGGCCACGTGACCAGCCGCTTCCGGAGTAGGCGGGGAAAAGCGCTCTCCCGGCCAGGCCCCCTCGGGAGAAAGCAGTACCCGAAGGCAGGAGCAACCCCAGGGCCTCAACCCCGAGGAATCGCCTTTTCCGACCGGCCTATCAGCCCCCTCCGCAGCCGGCCGGAGCCTGGACAAGTTACACAACCTTCAGTTCTCATAGCCCTGGGGCCGAACACAGGGGGCGGGGTGGTTTCCGGGCGGTGCCTGCCTGGGTCACTTCCCTAAACTCGGCTCCACCCTCAGGCCCCATCCGGGAAAGCCGAAGGCCCCGCTTGTCCAGGGCTTCGGGCCCAGCGGCGAGGGCCTGAGCGTGTGCGCACGCGCCGGCGGACCGTGCCGTTCCAGCCTCTGCCGGATGTACAGAGCGGAGAACCCAGATGGCTTTGTGGGCTCATCGCAGGGCCGTGATCTCCGCGGTGCAAACCCGTGGCTCCGGGTCGCGCGGTGCAAGCCCCTAACGCCCAGCGTCAGCACCCGGACCCCTCCGCCCCCGCATCTCCTTGGCCCTCCGCCCCCGCCCCTCCTGGGCGCAGACATCCCTGCCACCTGCTCTACAGACCCGCCAGCCGAGGGAGGGTAACGCGGAGACAGGAACAGCCCTTGGGTGGGGCGCGCGCGCCGAGACCGCTCGCGCGCTTTTCCTTCGCCGCCCCCGGGCCGGGTTCCGACGTCGCGTGCTCCCGTCGAACGCGCGCCCCCGTGAATCGACTTGGTTCAGCGCGCGCCAGCGGCTGCTCCGCGAGGGGCGGGCGGGCGCGCGCGCGCGCCGCGGACCCCCTCCCCCACAGCCGGTGTCCGCGCGGGCGCAGCAGCGCGGTGGGGGAGGGGAAGGGAGTCCAGGGGGCGCGCGAGCGACGGCCGAGCCAGCCCTCCCCAGCGTCCGCAGGCGCGCACGCGCGTCCCAACATCGCCCGCCCCTCAGCCCGAGACCCTCATCCCGCCCGGGGCGCTGGGGGAGGGGGTGCCGACGTCGCTCCACCGTTCCCTCCCCCGCGCGTGGACGACCGATTCGCAGCCGCCTCCCCTCAGTCGCCATGGCCTGCTGCTCACCATGTTTCCGGAAGCGAAAAGGAGATAGCAAGGAGAGTCAGGAGAGGTGAGAGCCGCTGCAGCTGCTGCCGGGATCCGACTGAACGCGGCCTCTCCCGGCCCCTTCCGTTTAGTACGAGCCGCACAATGAGGGGCGGGGCGGGCTTCCGGCGCTCCCCCCACGGGCCGACGGGAAATGAAGTCCGAGGGTCCTGCGCCGTCCCCGGGCTCACTGGGTAACAGAGTCTTTTTCGCCAGCCGGCCTCCCAGCGCCACATTACATGCTGGGAAACGTAGTCCGAGACAGCCGAGAGGGACTGTGGCTATGGCACGGAGAGCGCGCCCATTGGTCGAATTTTCCAGGAAACGCTCCGCTGAGCAGAGGCCCCCCGCGCTAGGTAATGTGAACCGAAAATGAGCCCTCGACCCCGCCGCTGGTCACCCGCGGCGGAACTGTTTCTTAAAATCCATCTTGGCAGGTTATGGTCTGAAAATTTCTGAATTGAAGCAACTGTTTATTGGCCTGGAATCCTGTCCTAGATAGAGCAAGGAGAATCGCAAGTTCAAAGCGTCTTCAACCTTCGTATGCACCTTTTATATACAAACCCACTCGTCTCCTGAGAAAAGGCCATATGCAACGTAAATAAAATTAAAATAAGAGAAAGCACACAAGAGAAAGGCTACAAGGAAGTCTTTGAAAATAGAGCTTTGTCCTTGTTTTAAAGACGTCTGGCAAGTTCACGAAACAAAGGGAGAAGGGCAGGGGGTCGTGCGATCAATTCAAAATTCGTGTGCCTTTTACTAGAGAGAGTGAAAAGAAAACATATATATTAAACCAGATTTGAATCACGTTCTCGCGTGGTAAGCCAGGTATACAGTTAATTTAAAACCCGGAAAAATTAAGACACAGCTCTGTGTTAGCCTGAGTTTCAAAAAAAAGAAACGGGTGGGGACTACGGGAAGTTTTCGTTGGCCTCGAACGACGACCTTAGGCCTTAGTCTTAGGCTCTGCGGAAAGACTACAGAGTGGCAAACAAGGGAACTAAGAGTATTGATCCCATCAGCAGAATAAAGAGTGTTAATGAAGAGCTGGAAGCCTGGTCTTCAAGACCGGGAGTGGGGCACCTCGCAGGGCATGCCGGGGATTGTAGTCAGGGACATC